GTTTTAAGTTTTAAAGTAGAGATTCTGGCTCTTAGTTCTATAGTAGCCTCTTTTATTGTAGTACATATTTCTTCTTTAGCCTCATAGATCTTTTCCAGTATAAGTTTACAGTTTAAGTGTGGTTGAGGCTTCTCCATTTTAGCAATAGTTGAAAAAAAAATCCTTTTCCTTTTTAGTGAAAGTTAAAATTGAACATTATTCACCCCCACAGATCACACAGCTAGCTCAAATTATCTTTTCTCTTGAAAAACAGTTTGAAGGCCAAAACCATCTCATCTCCAGATAGACAAAAATCCAGTATTAATTTTTGACCAGTAGGTATTCTCAGTGAGCTAAAAAGACTTCTTCAAACACCATTTTCCCCCTTTTTTCTATTTTTTAAAGGAAGAATAGAACAAAAAATACTCTGCCGATATAATACCGCTCCAAAAAACACAAAAAACAGTTTTTTCTGCAGCTCAATGTAAGTAGAGATAGAATATAGTCTTTAAATGAATATTGATTTGTTTTTTCTGTCCCTTTATAAAACGCGTTTGTTCCCTTTTCCAGACGGGGAAATAATAGCACAAACAGCTTCTACAGGCAAAAACAGCATGGGGTGTGGGGAGGAACAAAAGGGGTCTCACCCGGATCATCTGCGGTGGGTCTTTAACGCTTAGACGACGATGTGACTTTTGGCTGGTGCAGCAGGGTGATCAGCCATCTTACATGCCGATCTTTGCTCCGTCGGCCCTAAGGAGATAGCTGGAGACTCGGGGGGAGCTGCCGCCCTCCCCTATCTACCAGCAAGCCTCCTCCTCGGTGGTGGCATAGGTTTTTCTAATCCCACACCTGCTGACCTCATATGCCCAAAATATGCAAGCTTCTGCTTGCCAATCATTAGCTCAAGGTAACAGTTTTTATTTAGTCCAAGACTAACTGATTCTTCTTCAAGTCCACAATTCTCTCAGTATGTCCTTCTCTCACTTGTTCTCAATATCTAGTTTTCTTAGCTATACATCACCACTAGAAAAAACTATTACTTTAACTGTATTGTCATTAAAATACTCTTATCCATTATCTTGTCTTCAAAGTTGTCATTTCTTTCCCATCTAGAACTACTCTTCTACCTTTCCATTATCTTTCTTGGTTCTCTTCTACTTTTCCATTTATCATTATTGTTTCTTTAGCCAATAAACAAGCCTACCTACCATCTTCACTTATTCACCTTTAAATGAAGAGGCCAATTAGGCTATGTCTAGACCAGGCCTAAAATTTGATTTCCCTGCTCCTAGTCCTGTACTTAATCACTAAACCAAATTGGCTTTCACAAGGATCTTACAAAGTTCTCATGCAGTTTTCCATTTGTTACAAAACTTTCCTTGCAACTTTTCTCCTTTTTCTTCTTCTATTTGTTGACATTATTGGTTGACATATCTTTCCTTGTCCTTTCTTCCTTGTTGATGGAATTTCCTCTTTAGTCTATTTCTATTTGCCTAAGGCTTTAACATATTCCATTTTTCCTGGTTATCATAATTGGAGGCTTTTCCTTTTGGGAAAAAATTGGGGGAAAAAATCTTGCCTCTGTTTTCACAATATCTTTAAACATTTTAAGAAATAGAATAATAATTGATATAATTACCGATAAAGAAATTTTTAATATTTCTTGGAAGTGAAAAATCTGAAATGGACTTTTGAACTAACTGCCTAGAACTAAAAATCCAAATACGTACCTGTGGTGTAAGAAATTTTTCAATGCGTTTAACTATAAACATTTTCTCCAATATGGAGTTGACAGATGGTCGATCCCTTGGATTTCTTTTAAATAATTGTGAAATCAGACTCCGGAGTTCATGGGAATAACGTGTAGAAACAGGAGGAAATGATCCAGAGATTATTTTGAGAACTAAATTTTTCATATTACCAGCTTCAAACTAGAGAGAAAAGTAGAATTCATTGGATTATAGCAATGCTGTTAAGTATACTTAGTGATATCCTTAAGTTACTTTAAAATATTTTTCAAGATATTAACTTTTTTCACCCTATAGGACACTTTCACAGATAATTTTTCAATATTTACATATTACGTGTATAAACTGGGAATTTTTACAAGAACTAATCTAGATTAATTATACAGTAAAGAAACTGATCAGTCATTCTGTCCTGTAGTTTTCATCATATTCTGTAATTTTTCACAAATATAGAGAGATGACTCACCTCTCATAGAGATTCAGAAATATAAAGAATGCACTTCGCAAATATAAACTAATAAAACAGGTTCCACCAGCAGTCATGCAATTATTTCAAGTTATATTTATACAAAGAATTGACACACTGAAACTAGGATTTAATCTCAGTAAACATACTTAAGAAATGCAAATTGCTATAAGGAAGAAGGAACTTGGCATATTAATGTTAATTCATGCTGAAAAGGTGATGAATGAAGGATGAACATAAACGGATAACTTAAATCTTAACTTTACTAACTATAATCTCACATTTTGTGACCTTTTCTTTGCAATATTATTCAAAGTATTTAAATGTGGGATCTGAACCCTCAAATAATACCAGCTGTGTTTGGAAGTTCAAGTCATCCAACATATGTATAAAGTACAACAGCTTTTTATGTGAGAAGGTAAAATTATATAAAAACACATTATTTCTATAATTAAAGCAAAATAGTATTTGTCATGACAAATGAGAACATAGATAAAATAACTATCTAAGGCAATTATTTATTTCTTCCCCAACAGCCAAACAATTACCAAAAATATTATCAGTAAGGGATACAAATGCTCAGAATAGGTCATTCATTAAGAATATTAAACTTTAACTTACTGCATGTTTCAATGTACACATTTCATAAAGAACACACCCAAGGGCCCACATGTCACTAAGAAACAAAAACAAATAGTAAATTTACAATGTCAGCTAAAAAATCAATTTTGTCTTTGGTCCCTTCCATAAAAAAAAGCTGTGAAGGAATATATTATACATGTCAGTTGTAGCAGTATAATCTATTGTCCTATGAGTTTGAGAACATGGAAAAATGCCACAGTTGAAATCTATTCTGTCTTGGTTCACTTAGGGCATAGGTCGGCAACCTGCAGCTACGGAGCCGCATGTGGCTCTTTGAGCCTTCCTGAGGCTCCCAGCCTCCTCTGCCATTTGCAGAGACAGACAAAGAGCGTGTGTGTGTGTGTGTGTGTGTGTAAAAAAGAGAGTAGCCTCACCCTGTTCCGACGAGCTGAGAAGCTTATTGGGCGGGGTTCCTGCCTTGGCTGCGTCTCTGCAGGAAGCAGGAAACAGGAAGGGCAGGAAAGAGCTAGCTAGCCAGGCTATGCTGACTCAGGAATTCTGGGAGTTGAAGTCCATGAGTCATAAAAGAGCTGAGGTTGCCTACCCCTGAGCTAGCCCAATAAGAATGTGTGTCAGCTTGTTGGAGAACAGCTTGAAGCAGAAGATCGGAGAGAGGGAGACAGAGGGGGGGAGAGAGAAAGAGAGGGAGAGAGAGGGGGGGAGAGGGAGAAAGAGAGAGAGAAAGGGGGAGAGGAAAGAGAGAGAGGAAAGAGAGATAGAGAGAGGGAGAGGAAAGAGAGAGAAAGAGAGATAGAGAGAGGGAGAGGAAAGAGAGAGAGAGGGAGAAGAGAGAAAGGGAAAAAGGGAGAGAGAAAGAGAGAGGGAGGAAGAGAGAGAAAGAGACCCTTTTGACATCTAAAATGAAGGTAACGCTGCATATATCCTTTTTTACCTTTATTATTTTTATATATATATATATATATATATATANACATACATACATACATACATACATACATACATACATACAGTATATATATGTCCTTAATAGCTGCAAAAATACGAATCCCCGGCATATTTGTTCAATAACACAACCTTCGATCTCCAGGAGACGTATAAACCAGTTGTTTATTGCTAAAAAGATATTTAAAAACAATAAAAACAACTATTTACAATGTTAAAAGAAACAACTTAGCTTTCGCTGGTCCCCTACCAGCGTCCTCAGAGTGAAGCTCAAGGGGTGGGGAGATTCTTTTTATACACCTTGCTGGTCTAACTGCTTACTCATTGCCCGTGTGATAGGGCCATCCTTCCTGATTAACTGTAATTGCCTTGGTTGTCCCGCCTTCTCTTTTTTGCACTCCAACTCCACACTTTTCCCCTCTCTCATCCTTATCAATCTCCTCCCTCCCAGCACCATTGCTGCCGGTGTGCTCTCTAAACGCTCCCTCCTACTCATTCCAGGCTGCGCATTCAAACCCAGTGCTACAAAAGGCTTGCCATCAGCGCTCCCTTCCTTTCTAGCCCGTTGGTCTGCACGCTGTTCCTGCCTTCCGTCATCCATTCCTGTCAGTCTTTTTTTCTCCAATTTCCCTCCACCCCCGGGTGTGCGCATGCTCCATTGTGCCTCATCCTTCTGCTCCGTCTGCCCACAACCGGTGGGGATGCCTATCAGCTGGCTCTTAGGCTCAGCCCCTCTCGTCCTCGTTAGCCTTATCTCCCCCAATTTCCTTTCACACCTGGCTGTGCGTACGACCGATGACTTTTCTTCCTTTGGTAGCGGAGGCAATAGCGTGCATATTAGCACCTTATAACATCAAAGTGGCTCACTGATCCGACCAAACACTTCGGATGAAAGCGATGCGTCCCAAGGAACCGCTACCAAAGGAAGAAAAGTCATCGGTCGTATACAGGGTACACTGCAAGGATTGCCAATGTAACTATACGAGGGAGACGGCCAAATGGATAAAAACTAGAATACATGAACACAGATTGGCCGTCAGAAGGCAGGAGCAGTATTCCCAAATATGGACGCATATGGTTAACAACGGGCACTCATTCGATTTCAAGGGAGCAGAAGCCATCGCCCAGGATGCCTCCAAAGGAGGACGCCTGCTGAAGGAGGCCTGGCTCTCCAACATGGATTCAATCAATCGATGCATAGAATTGCCCACGCATACCAGACATTAAAAATACACGAGGAGCGAGTCAGGATGCGGATGGCGCTTACCAGAGGCAGAACCAGAACCGGGGAAGGCAGTCATCACATGGCTAGGCAAAGAAAGGATTTGGAGGGAATAGGGATGATAGGGATGGATGGTGAAACATTGGAACCACGGATGGATGGATGGGGTGAAAAGGAAGGAGGAAGTGAGCATGGTGAAGGGTCGCAGGGGGGAGGTGACAATGAGAGGGCATTGGGAATGCCGGACCTGACCGTACAACCCAAAAAACGTAGGACAGGGATACCAAACAAGACAGGATTAGCCAAGAGGGGGAAGGAGGGAGAAAGGGATAAAAAAGGGGGGGAGGTTGGACTTGAAGAGGAGCTGGCGGATAGTCCAACTGACCATAGGCAGACGGAGCAGAGATGGGACACGATTGTGCGCACGCACAGCCAGGTGTGAAAGGAAATTGGGGGAGATAAGGCTAACGAGGACGAGAGGGGCTGAGCCTAAGAGCCAGCTGATAGGCATCCCCACCGGTTGTGGGCAGACGGAGCAGAAGGATGAGGCACGATGGAGCGTGCGCACACCCGGGGGTGGAGGGAAATCGGAGAAAAAAAGACTGATAGGAATAGATGACGGAAGGCAGGAACAGAGTGCAGACCAACGGGCTAGAAAGGAAGGGAGCGCTGATGGCAAGCCTTTTGTAGCACTGGGTTTGAATGCGCAGCCTGGAATGAGTAGGAGGGAGCGTTTAGAGAGCACACCGGCAGCAATGGTGCTGGGAGGGAGGAGATTGACAAGGATGAGAGAGGGGAAAAGTGTGGAGTTGGAGTGCAAAAAAGAGAAGGCGGGACAACCAAGGCAATTACAGTTAATCAGGAAGGATGGCCTTATCACACGGACAATGAGTAAGCAGTTAGACCAGCAAGGTGTATAAAAAGAATCTCCCCACCCCTTGAGCTTCACTCTGAGGACGCTGGCAGGGGACCAGCGAAAGCTAAGTTGTTTCTTTTAACATTGTAAATAGTTGTTTTTATTGTTTTTAAATATCTTTTTAGCAATAAACAACTGGTTTATACCCCTCTCGGAGATCGAAGATTGTGTTATTGAATATATATATGTATGTATGTATGTATGTATGTATATATATATATACACATACATACATACATACATACATACATATATATATATAAAGGAAAAAAGGATATATGCAGTGTTATCTTCATTTTAGATATCAAAAGGGTTTTGCGGCTCCCAGTGTTTTGTTTTCGTTGGGAAATGAATCCAAGTGGCTCTTTGAGTGTTTTGGGTTGCCTACCCCTGACTTAGGTAAACAGAAAGAAATTATTAGATTCATAATACTACACTAAGATAGAACACGGATTTATCAGTGATTCCAACCACTGTGGTGTATAAACCATGCTTATAACATAGCATTTTATGTGACCCAAGTCACTGTGACTTACCGACTTTCAATGGTTAAATAATGAAATTGTGGCTAAGTGTAAAAATGGATTTAGGTTGTAATCTAAGTATTATCTGCTTGCTTACTGCTTCTGTTCCACTTTCTCCTAGGTCATTTTTTAGCCTCTAGAAAGAAATAAAATTCTATAACACATTACTAATCCCTGTTAGTGCCCTAGTACAGGGCTTTTCAACCTTTTTACCCATTGTACCACTTTTAGGATATGGCAACATCCAAGTACCACCAGTCGCCTAGCAAGGTGTCAAAAACTTGATGATAAAGTACAGGTAGTCCTCGACTTACAACAGTTCGCTTAGTGACTGTTCGAAGTTACAATGGCACTGAAAAAAGTGCCCCCCCAAGCCACAGCCGAGCAAGACAGCACCCGGCGGTGCTCTTCCTCCTGTCCAAGGTTTTCATTGTTGTGAGCATTTCTGTTGAGGATTGGCAACAGGGGGGGGGGTGTTTGGTTTTTATCCCCCCGTCTGCTGGGTGGTTGCAGCAGGTTTTGGTCAATTCACATGACCCTGGGACACTATGACTATCATAAATATGAATCAGTTGCCAAGCATCTGAATGTAAATCACAAGACCCTGGAGATGCTGCAACATTCCAGCTGATCAGCGCTTCTTCTGGGCTCAGCAGAAGCATCAGATCAGTGCTGCTTTCCAGCTGATTGGTGCTTCTGGGCTCAGCAGAAGCACCAGGATCAGCGCCGAGCTCCAGCTGGAGCCTGGTGCTGATCCTGGTGCTTCCACTGAGCCGACAGCCCCGAAGAAGCATCGATCAGCTGGAAAGCGGCACTGATCCTGGCGTTTCCGCTGAGCCCTGACAGCCCTGCAGCTCCAGCCATCTCTCGTTCAGGCTTGTGCGGTGCTGCCATCGGTTCAGCTCATTCCCCTCCCCCGCTACTTTTCTAGAATGGTTGCGTACCACCTGCCAGGTGCCAATGTACCACAGGTGGTTCCCATACTACTGGTTGAAAAGCCCTGCCCTAGTAAATTACACAGAATGAGATGGCTACTTATGGGGGCATATTTTGATTGTCAAATATATATAATGGTATTTTAAAATGTTTACTATACACTTAGGTTTTCTAACTCATTGTACAACATATACTGCTTTACAGAGTCAGAACTACATATTACACAGTTTTTAGTAGTTAAGAATTACATTTTTATTTCTTTATCTAAAAACAATTATATTAAGAATAAAAACACTAATTTCTCTACAGAGCTAAAATAAAGCAAAGTTGAATGAGAACAAGCAAGTTGAAAAAAATGATAGCACAATGAAAGGTCAGGGCATCTATCTAGATTACAATTGATAATAGTTACACGTTACCTTTTATTATTGTAAGGTTTATTCTCACAGATTTCTGGTGACAAGTAATATGGTGTTCCTATACAAGTTCGAGCAAGTTCCACGGTACTAAAAAAATAAAATGGTATTAATCAATTAAACCACCTTAATAATATTATTAAAACTGAAGCAATGGGGATTATTTTAAGGTTACCTATTCAGAACTCTAGCTATTCCAAAGTCTCCCAACTGTATTGTTCCATCTTTGGTTAAAAATATATTCTGGAGTAGAAGAAGAAAAAATGTAATACTATTATTTTTTAAAAAAAATTATGCACAATAATTTGATTTTAACTCAGAATTTACAATTAAAGTTAGAAACTACTTTTGGCCGATTATTATATATTACATATATTATTATATTATTACATTATATTATTCAGAGATAACATACAGTTTATAATGTTTAATTTTGGTTTGTATTCTGTTAATCCAACCACTACAATTTTTGTAGAAATCAAAGCAATGGGGCGTTGTCTTACCTGAACGCCTTTTCTCAGCACGGAGATGGAGGATCCACCCATGGGTTGAGACTGTATTCCTGCCCAATCAGATCAAGTCAGCCAAAGTTGTCACGCCCTGTCCCTGGACCTATGCCCAGTCTTGACGCGAGCGTAGCCTTTGACTGATCGATGACGTACTGGCTCAAAACTAATTACCTACAAGGCTAAATGAATCTCTACTAAGAGGGAGGGAGGTGGATCCTCCATCTCCGTGCTGAGAAAAGGCGTTCAGGTAAGACAACGCCCCTTCTCCAGCACTTGAGATGGAGGATCCACCCATGGGACATACCAAAGCCTACTGTCCCTGAGGGAGGGAATCAGACTGGTCCGGTGTGGCACTTTGGCAAACTACTTGTTGGAGGACCCTCCTTCCAAAGGAAGCCTCCGCCGAGGCAAATTTATCGACCTTGTAGTGCCGAATAAAAGGAGAAGGAGTGGTCCATGTGGCCGCTCTACAAACCTCCTCAATAGTCGCTTGAGTGTTCCAAGCCGATGTGGAAGCGCTCCGTGTGGAGTGCGCTGTGACCCCTTGCGGAACCGGCAATGACTCCGCCCGATATGCCTCGGTGATGCACGCCCTAATCCACCTGCCACTGGTGGAAGAGGAAACCTTCCTACCCCTGGAAGATGGGTGAAAGGAGACAAACAGGGCTTCTGATGCGCGGAAATCCGCCGTCCGTGCAATGTAGTAACGGAGTGCCCTGCGGACATCTAAGCAATGCCATTGCCATTCCAGAGTACGCGATGGTCTAGGGCAAAAGTCCGGTAGAATAACTTCCTGGCACCTATGAAAGAGCGAATTCACCTTTGGGACAAAGGTAGGGTCTAGACGGAGTACCACGCGGTCCGTGTGGAAGATGCACAGATCCTTACGGACCGACAATGCCGCCAGCTCTGATATACGTCGAGCCGACGTGATGGCCACTAAGAAGGCTACCTTGTGTGACAGGTGATTCATATCGCACGATGCTAATGGTTCGAAGGGCGGTCTTGTTAGAGCCCGAAGAACCCGAGGCAACTCCCAGGAAGGATACCTGTGCACTGTAGGCAGCCTGGTGTTCGCTGCTCCCTTAAGGAAGGAGCAGAGCAGTGGGTGGTGAGCTAACGACCCTCCGGATTCCCAGGCGAGAACAGTAGAGAGCGCAGCTAGTTGCCTACGTAACGTATTAGGGGCTAAACCTTTGTCCAGACCCTCTGACAAAAATTCCAAAATATTAGGAATATTGAGACCTGAAATAGACAACTGATGCTTATTGCACCAAGTACAAAAGTTTTTCCACGTGGCCTCATAAATGCGATTCGTGGATGGCCGCCGTGATGCCTGTATAATCTCAATGACCCTTAATGAGCAGGATTGCCTTGACAAATAGTAGCGCTCAAGTGCCAGACGGCTAGTTGCAGCCACTGGGGATCCGGATGAAGGATGGCTCCCTGACTCAGCGAAATTCTGTCCGGGGGAATCTTCCACGGTGCTGTTATGGAGAGACCCAGAAGGTCGGCAAACCACGGTCTCCTTGGCCAATACGGGGCTACAAGTAGAATCTCTGCGTCCTCCCGGAGTAGTTTGCGCACCACCGCTGGAATAAGAGGGAGAGGTGGGAAGGCATACAGCAGACCCCGAGGCCATGGAGAGCGCAGTGCATCTATCTGCTCCACTCCCTGAGACGGAAAGCGGGAGAAGAAGCGGGGGAGCTGGGTGTTGGCCGGTGAGGCAAATAGGTCCACTAACGGTAGACCAAAGCGGTGGCAACTCTCCTTGAAGACCCTCGGGTGAATCCTCCACTCTGAGTGGTCTATTGTCGCTCTGCTCAAGACATCTGCCTGGGTATTGTCCTTGCCCGAGATGTGCTCGGCCTTGATGGACGCTAGATTGTGCTCCGCCCAGGTCCCCAATATTAATGCCTCGTTGAGAAGGATCCGAGAACGAGTGCCCCCCTGCCTGTTTACGTGGGCCTTGGCAGTCATGTTGTCCGTGAGGACCAATACATGACGCTTTCGGACCTGGCTGTGGAAGTGACGGAGAGCCAGATGTATGGCCCTCAGTTCCAACCAGTTTATATCGTGGCGGAGGTCTGAGTGCGACCAACGGCCCTGGGCCCAATGGGAGTGCAGATGCGCCCCCCAACCAAAGAGGCTGGCATCGGTCGTGATGAGGAGCCGCTCCGGCTCCTTGAATAACGACCCTTTGAGGACGGCTGGGGACAGCCACCACTTGAGGGAAAGCGAGGTCTGAGATGGAAGCCTCACCCTTGTCTGAGAGGCACTGATGTTCCGCCTCTGGAAGGGGAGAAGGAACCACTGCAATTCCCTGGAGTGGAGTCTGGCCCACGGAACTATTTCTATGGCCGATATCATCTGTCCTAACACCCTGGAAAGGCTGAGTAGGGAAACCTTCTGCCCCTTGCGCACTTGGCGGATGGATTTTCTCAGGTTGGTCAAACGCTCCTGGGATAAATACACCCGACATTCCATGGTGTCTATGACGGCCCCTAAGTGCAATAGCCGAGTCGTGGGGACCAGATGACTCTTGGGGAAGTTTACCGAGAACCCGTGATCCTGGAGCAGCCGTACTACCCGGTCGAGATCCTGTCGTGCCGAGTGGGCGGAGGTCGACTGGATCAGGATGTCGTCCAGGTAACACTGGACCCTGATCGGAACCATCCGTAGGTGAGCTGCCAGGACCGCCAGGATCTTGGTAAACACCCTGGGAGCCGCCGAGAGGCCAAAGGGTAGAGCTCTGTATTGATAATGCTCTCCCTTGTAACTGAACCGTAGAAACCGCCGGTGGTCGACAGAGATGGGGATATGGAGATACGCTTCCGTGAGATCGATGGACGTCAGGAAGTCTCCTTTTCTCACGCTTCCCAAAATGGAGCGGAGCGTCTGCATCTTGAATTTTTGATATTTTACATGAAGATTCAAATTTTTTAGATCCAGGATGGCTCTCCATCCTCCTGACGGTTTTGGAACTACAAAGAGGATGGAGTAAAATCCCCGACCCCTTTGGTCCACCGGGGAGGTTTCTATGGCCCTTATCTCCAGGAGATGTTGAATGGCCTGGCCCATTAGAGCCCTTTTGACTGGGTTTCGGGGGAATGGGCAAGAAATGAACCTGTTTACAGGCGTGGAGATGAACTCCAGGTAGAGGCCGGACCTTATCGTGTTCAGGACCCACCTGTCCGTGGTGGTGGCCTCCCATTGGTGGAAGAACAGCGACAGTCTGCCCCCTATGGGAGGTCCCGTTGCCGGGGAGTCACCTGGAGCGCCGGAAAGGCCGGCCGCTCCCACGAAAGGGCCGCTTACCCTGGTTACCCTGGTAGTGCTGCCTGGGCTTGCTCGCCTGCCTGTCAAATTGACCCTCTTGACAGTCCGTTCTGGGTGGAAAGGGACGAAAGGAGGGTGAATAGCTGTATCTATTTCCCCCCCGAAAGGACTGTTTACGGGGTACATAAGTTTGCCTCTTGTCTGACCCCTTAAGGATATGGTTGAGCACTTTGCGTTTATCCTTATTCTCTGAGAGATAAGGAGTCAAAGCCTCACCAAATAACTTACCCCCCTGATATGGAGCAGAGGACAGACGCCACTTGGATTTGGCATCAGCTTGCCAATGCTTAAGCCAAAGCATGCGTCTGCTAGTGACCCCTGAGGCCATAGCTCTAGAGGCAAACTTAGTCGCCTGGAGCGTAGCATCCGAGGCGTACTCCATCGTCGCCACCATCTTACTGATGTCCTGTTGAGAACGGACATCGTCTTTGGGGGTGCGGGCCTGTAGTTGCTTTAGCCAACGGTGTGCGGCTCTGGTGAAGAACGACGCTGACGTCGCTGCCCTAATGGCCCAAGCAGATGCCTGGTGGATCCTGCGAAAGGATAACTCGCACTTACGGTCCTCCGACTTCAGTGCTTCCGAGACATCGCCAGCTATGGCCGTAGGGGAAATTAATGGTCCGAAGGGCTCATCCACCGCAGGGACCTCCAGCGCTTCCTCCAATTCCTTGGCCACGTTGAACAGCTTTTTGTCCGTGGCACTTGGAAGAGGAAAGGAGGCCGGTAGCGCCCATTGTTTCTTTACCGCAGTTAGAAACATGGGCGGACATGGGATCCGGTGCTGAGCTGCCACCGGTTCAGTAAAATTTGGATCCAAATCCGGATCGGGAGTAGCCGTATTTGATGAGGAAGGAGGCTCAGCACCAAGGTGTGCGGTGGAAGAGACCTTGCGGAGCAAGGTAACAAAGGCTGAAGAGTGGAACATTCCAGTGGACGCCGGAGCATCCGCAGACTGTTCCTCTTCCTCAGACATCGGAAACTCCTGGTCAGAGGCCTGATCAGGTAGCGACAAACCCTCAGAATACAAGGATTCAGATGGTGAGGAGGGGCCAGACTGAGGTTCATCTGCCTGATGTGGGGTAGGAGGGGAAATTATAGGAGGGGAAACTACGACTGGAGGTTTAGGAACCGCCCTAGCGTTCAGAGCAATTAAAAGTGAGCAATTAAAAGTGACAATCGCTCCTCTGAAGGGAAAGAAACCTGCTCGGCCTGGCGAAGTCCAGCCGCTGTGGGCGTGAAAGTGGCCTCTGGTATACGTGGAGGTGCCTGAGTAACTGGGATCTGGGGTTCCTGTTCCCGCCCCCCAGTCTGAGAATTGTCCATTCGGGCTATTTTTTGTGCCCTAGAAAACTCTCTTTCCAGGGCTTGGTGTCTCCTGGTGGCGTGCTTATCCGCCCCCTTTAAAGTCGTCTTTGCAGATTTTTTCTTTTTACTCTGCGCAGCCCTGTCTGATCCCTCCAGATGAGATGACATAGTGTTTAAGGCGGCCAAAGAAGGGGACACGACCTCCTTCTCGAGGGAATCCACACTTTCCATCCTCTGATAACGCAGAGGCTCAAGCGGGGGCCTCCGGTATCCAGAGGGAATTATCACCTTGGGTACAACCGGACGCAATTCCAAAGGACGCCAGGGACCCAGGTACTTATGCAATCACAGGCAACGACAGACACGCTATGGGAGTGCCTGGTGCCCGTGCGCCACGTGTCACAAACGAGGACCGGTGCTCTGAGGGGTCACCGTAAGTCTGCTGCAAGTACTGGGGGTAGTTAAATTTGAAGCACGCTATAAGACTTCAAGTGCAAATAAAGGGCTGCAAAAATTCCTTCCCCAGAAGGCACCAAGCACAGGAAAGGCAAACCTCTAGGAATGTAATTCCATTAAGATTCAACTCTAAGTGACCAGAAATTTTGTGAGGGAGTCAACCAAGACGCTGTCAATACGCCTAAAATGGCGGCCGCTTAAAATGGCGGCCGTGCCTAATTGAGCCTTGTGGTCGCCCAAACAAAATGGCGGCCGCACCCGAAGCCCAGGCCCTTGGTCACCCGTAGGGAGACCCCCGTGAGACCAGGGAGCTCAGTTTTGGGTGTTTCAGGAGGATTAGCACCGCGTTTAGCGCTATTCTCCCCCGAACGCCGAGAAATGAGATCGCTTCGCGACCGCGCGGTCTCCAAAATGGCGGCCGTGCGCGCGAAAAACGAAGGTCGGTTCAGACGTGAGGAAAGGCTTCCTTTCCCCCTTAACGGCACCCTGCAGCGTCAAAAATCCTAAAACGCCGCCCGAAAACGCCGCCGCTGCTTGCGATCGGTCACGGAAGAACCGATCGGCGTCCGTTTGAGGCGCGCGCGTTTTGGAGGCTGCCAAAAGTTCCTACGACCTACTGTGAGGCAATGCCCAATTCGAGGCCCTGTGAGACTCCTGCGGCCTATCTATATGGTAGGATCCTTCCTTTTCCCTTTAAGCTCCTATGAATTCCTAATTGTCACCGGGCTCGCAGCCACGAGCTCCGGAGGGATCTCTGGGATCTAACAGCCGTTAGGTCCAGAGCCATCTCAGCTTCCTATTCTCTCCTGAGAGAGCTCCTGGGGGGAGGGAAAAAAGAAGGGGCCCCCTTCAATCTTCCTCTGAGCTTTGCTCCCCCCACAACAGAGCTGAGATTATGCTAATGAAAGACTTGACAAGTGGACTAATCAATTTTAGATAAGGGGATCTAATGGTAAGGAGATGGAAAATGCACCCAAGGCTAGACTGTACCTATGAGCCAGAGTTGTACGTCCTGTCCATGGGCAAGATCAAGTCAAGACTGGGCATAGGTCCAGGGACAGGGCGTGACAACTTTGGCTGACTTGATCTGATTGGGCAGGAATACAGTCTCAACCCATGGGTGGATCCTCCATCTCAAGTGCTGGAGAATTTGCTGTATTCAAACATGGCTACACAATGTGAAGTGCAATCCAGCAATTCAGTCCCAAAATTCTGCAAGTGAATCAAACTTTTATCTTGAAGCAAATTAATGCACAGAATCAAATAATCTTTCTTTAAAAACTTATTTCATCTTATGACTTAAAATGCGTATCAGCCTCTAAGCAGAAAAATATGCTTGATTAAACTGCAGGAGTCATCAAATTGTTTAATTATGATCAGACAACAGTTAATATACAAATAGCCTATTTTTTAAAAAAAATGTTGTAATCCTTCTGAGAGATGCAGTAAACATATGTAGGAGAAATCTAAGATAAGATGAAATAAATACTAAATATTTTAAATTAATAAAACAACTAAATTCATGATAGAACTAGGCTACAATCCACTATGTCCAGCTGGGTGACTTTGGACCAATCACTTTCTTTCAGCCCAATGCACCTCACAGATTTGCTGTTATGGGGAAAAATAGAAGGAGAAACTGTGTTGGAGTTATTTGTAAAAATAATAAAGGTGGGAGATGGGATATAAATAAATAATAAAAGTATCACACAGCTGCTTCAAGACACCCCAGCTGACTCTGTATGAATGGCTGCTTTACTAACAGTGGAATTGTGCGCATGTGCACAAACAGGAACAGATTTGAAGCCAACTGATAAGCTCTGCAAAGGATCTGTTTTAACAATTTGTTTTGTTTATGTTAAAGTATTTAGTAAAGCTCTTCTTTTCATACTTTTAATACTTAACTATAGTCTGTACATTGTTAACTTAACTAAACATCAGCTGCATCATTTACCACTCATCTGACTTTTATTTAGGGAACAAATTGTTCTTGAAAAGGTATTCTAGCCTAGAATTTTGGTTTCATGTTATGAGCTAAAAGTAGTTTAAGGCTCCTGCACTTCTGTTCATGGAAGAGGACAAAACTGAAAGTATGAACTTGGGAAATTTGCTGAAACCTGCAGCTTAAGACAGGTTTGTTTGTAACCTTATTTAAATAAATTTGCTAATGAAATAGGCACAACAGGAAACAATGATTTATTTAAAATCTAGAACCTTAAAATCCTATAACTACACATATAAAAAGAAGTGGGAAGAAAAACCATGAGCTTGATATTTAGTACAGCTCATTTCTGAAATACTATATTTCAGCAATATAACTATTGCTTTGAACAACCACCTCTCCAGTCTGAAGAATTGTTCAGACCCAATTTATTTCATCAATATTTGCGAGCACTAGGTTTCAGCATACCTATTAAAATTCAATATAAAAATGGTTATATTTAACTTACCTGTGATTTTATATCTCGATGCAAAATTTTTCTATCATGTACGTGCTTCAGTGCTAAACATATTTGTACAAACCAATCCATGATCTATAGTTACAAAAAATTACTTTTTGTTAGAAAATTATATTTTATGATATTAAAATAACTTAAACATTAGTCTTTGTGAGATGCTGTTTTATTACTTTAATTTTTTACAAAAGGAAAAAAATTGACATATGGTATATTTCAGAATATTGTATAAGGAAGAAATGGGAACCTTTTTATAAATGTCTCAAGAGTTACCATTTCAAAATGCTGCCAGTGCTCATAACATGAGTCCTTGTCTCTTCAAAGGTAAGAGTAAGGAAAAGTAATGGAGAATGAGACTCCCATAGATGGGAATGTCCGCTTCATTAGCTCCTTTTCTTTCCTTCTGAAAAGACAAGAAGTGGTCAGAACTAAAATTCAGGCAAAGGCATTTTCAAATACTCTGGCTTTTTTTTTCTCTAGAACTGTATGTTGCTCATAGACAGGGCTTCAGGAGAGTGAAGGGTTTATAATAGTATCAGACCCACAAATATGGTAGTTCAGTAAAATATTTTTCCCTAAAAAACAAATACTGTATTGAGATTCAGTCACCACCATCAATAACTATTGTCCTTCTTTCTCCATTTCTATTTCCTTGTGTATTCTTTTTGTCTGTGAATCTGAAGTCAGGAACTGTCCTAAAGGCAGCTCAGTATCTTCCGTTCCTAGCCATTGGGATGCACAACAAAGGCAAAATCACATGGTTTCCAAACTTCTTTTTCTTTTACAGTTAACAGCAGCAATTGGGTCTAGAATGTCTGATACTAAGCAACATGGTCCTAAAGTGCAATATCACATGATTGTGCTGCTTAGTAACAGCAATTCCAGTACCTCTGATTGCCATTGTTGAGCAAATCTCAAACTATATGACATCACATGATCTCCTGCTGGCTCTGACTTTGCTTGTCAGAAGCTGGCGGTGAAGGTTGCAAATGATGATCATTTGCGGGACACTGAGACAGTCAGAACTACTTTGAGAAGTAGTCATAAGTACCATTCATTCAGAACTATCATAAGTCTGAATGGTTGTTCAACAAGTGGTTGTTAAATGTGGCCTACCTGTATTCACATTTACCAATACTGAAAGAATCAATTTGAGTATCAGCAAAGCCTTATCAGAGTAGACAAATACTTTTACTTTTCAACTTCACTGAAATATTTTTAATTTTGTCATTTTGTTTTTATCACTTAGATTCCATTGTTAATATTCTGTTATCCATATTTAGCGGCAGTAGTACATCATACGCACTCATGCTGATGCCTTACTCAGCGGTTAAAGATGCTGAGCTTGTCAGCTTGAGAGTTGACAGTCTGGGTTGGAGACCCAAGCTCCGCACAATGGGATGAGCTCCTGTTACTTGCCCCAGCTCTGGATTACCTAGCAGTTCAAAAGTATGCAAATGCAAGTAGATTAATAGGTACCAATTCGGTTGGAAGGTAACAGCATCCTGTGCGTCTTTGGCATATAGCCATGCTGGCCACTCAACCATGGAAAATGTTTTCAGACAACACTGGGTTCCCTCAGCCAAGAAACGGAGTTGAGCCTTAATGTTGGACAAACCTGACAGGGAAACTTTAACCATTTTTATTGTTCTTTCTAGATAGCGTTTATGCTTTTTTCCTATGTCGTGGCTTTTCATACTTTGTTCACTTTTAATGAAGTCATTAAAAATATGGTCAGTGACAATAATAAAGATTAAGTATCTTTTCAACAGTGTTTTGCATATTCATGAATCAATCTCTTCCCTTTTCTAAGCAAGCAAAGCATACCAAGACCTTTTGTATTTAACACATATTTTTCTAGACTTGTCAAAGCCACCTAGAAGATAGTTTGCATTTGGGTCCACATGGTATCAGCTTCTTTGGAGGTGTGTGCAGTTCTTCAGCTTTTGACAAGATAACCAATTCAAACAAACATAGCTTGATATAACAAACTTAGACAAATATCATCCACTCTCCACCTTTCCTTTTCTTAAAAAGAGGGTGGAGAGAGCAGTCAGGATTTAATTACAGATTATTTTGGAGGAAGATTATTGGACATTTTGCAGTCAGGTTTCAGGCCAAAGTTCAGGAAATGGCATTAATAGTGCTTGTTGATGATCTGTGGCAAAGTAGGGATAGGAAGTGTGTAACCATCTTCATATTCTTTGATCACTCAGCAGCTTTTGACATAATTGACCTTAATATCCTTTGGGACCAGCTTTCAGGAATGGGAGTAAAAGGCATCATTTTATGTGTTTGTCTCATTTCACTGTGGCTGGTTTCAATCAGTATTGTCAGGCAGGGAGAAATCACACACAAGTTCCTTCCAAGTTCCACCCTCCCAGCAAGGTGGATGTACTCCCATCAATAAAAGAATGTCATCTTGAGGATCAGAAAGCACAAGCTTTCTGGAATGATCTTACCCCAGAGATTTGTGTGGCTTCCACCTTTATATCATTCAGGAAATCACTGAAGACCAAGTTGTTCTCCAGAGGTTTTGGAATAGGGTGGTTTTAGATCCTTTTTTTGTTTTTCTTTGTTTTATTTGGCCTGATCTATTTTGTTGTTGTTTTGCTCTTCTGAATGACTTTATTTGTTCTATGTCATTTAGAAGATGGATAACCTATAAAATAAATAAATATCTTAAATTCTATTACCTGGTCTTCTGAAAAAAAGACTCCTTTTTGTGCATTAATTTTTTTAAACAGATCTCCGCCTTCACAATAATCCATTACTATATAAAGACAGCCAGCTTCTGTAACAAAAGAAAAAAGTTGGTGTTTATTTATATATATTAATAAAGTAATTTCTTAATTTCTGATCTCTAAAAATTATATATTTTCAAAGTAATGAAACAGATACGTTTACCTTATAATCATAACTCAATAACATTCACTTAAAAATCCTACTGATCAGCATTACTTATTCCTATTGAGCAGACATGGAATTGCAACATAAACAAGAAATACCAGCTAGAAAACCTGAGTAGTAAAAATACTATTTAAGCAAATCCTGACAATTTAGCATCTTTAATTCAATTTGTGTTTTAAGACTTACGTGCCTGACTTCAAAATATCAGTTTATCATTAAAACTAACCTTCAAATGATTCTCTGTACAAAACAATATTCGGATGTTTCATATTTGCCAAAACAGCAACTTCTCTTCTTGATTCTTCTCTTTCTTTATTTGACATCTTAAAAATAGAAGCATTACTTCTTAAAATTTATTTGTAAATAGAGTAATGAAAAAGAAATATAAATTTAGAAACATACCTTGGATATGTTAATTTCCTTAATAACATATTGTTTGCCATTTTCCTTTGCTTTAACCAGAATTGCTTTTCCAAAAGATCCTTCACCAATCTTTTGCACCTTAACATATTTGTCCATAGTAGCTTTTTAAGGCATCCTTATTCATAAGCTACGGAGAAAATCAGTTTATTCTTTTAGCATTTGTGAGATCAAAATTACATTATAAACTGGTCTCTGAATCACTGAGTTTAATATTATCAAGATTTAATATACTATAATTTGAATCTTTTTTTGTTTCAGTTAAGCTATACTTAGTTTGTGTTCATTTGTTTGCTTTGTATTATAGTTGTTTTTTAAAGAATGGGAAACACGGAAATAGTTGGCTTATTAACAATTTACAAAATATAGAAACACTAGTAACAATTAAAGGATCCATATTATTTTCAAAGTAGCACGCACTAAAAAGTATGAGTTTTTATTTAAAGCAAATTGCCAATAAAAAGGGAGGAAATTCTGCATTATAAATCTCAAAATTTTCTGTTTCAGAAAAATTGAATGCATCCATAAACCACTTGGTAAGGTCTGCAACTATCCAAACTTCAAAGGGACTCAAGTGTCATGAGCTAACAAGACAAGGAATACAGTAATGAGAAATTTTAGAGGAGTGCAAAGCATTCAAATGGAGCTTCGCAGAGTATACTGATATAAACAAAGCTCCTCCTCAATTTAAGCATCTATGTCTTCAGGAATCAGAACCAGTTTGGTGTGGTGCAACACCAAAGGTTAAGGCACCAGGCTAGAAAATGAAAGCCAATTGGGGGACCGTGGTTCAGTCAATCTCTCTAAACCTTAGAAAGAAGGCAGTGACAAACTATTTTTGAAAAATTTTGTCAAGTATACTGCAGGGATTTTTTAAGGCAATTGTTAAGGTCACTGTAGCTATTTTGAAGGTTTCCTAGACAGTTTGCGTATCTGTGTATACATGCATTTTTGCTTCACTGCAATGACATTTTCTGTACATACAAAGAGAACATATAACCATGTTGACCCTTGCAAAAGACACACTGGCATAATGCTTCAAAGAGGATGCTTTATTTGCACTAATACAGTTTATGAAGTATCCTGATAGCTTTCACAATTTTGACAGTTAAAAAAAACCAGGGAAATTCAGTGTAATAATTTTACTTTTAAAATCCAGAATTAAGGGTACTTTATGTTGCCACAAGCTGCTTAAAACAAAGAATTTAGAAACTGATAATGTACCAACATTTTGTGTGTGTTACCAATTAAAATTTAGATACGTGAATGCAGGGTAACTGGGATAGCAAAGATTCCCCAGTTTGTCCTGGCCCAGTATAACTTATATAATATAAAAACTTTTTAGATGACATAGCATAACATCATTTCTAAGTATAAGGCACATCACCAAAGCAATAACTTTTTAATTTTCTGCACTCATATAGTTGAACTAACCAAAGATAGTTTAGATGCTTTGTTTGAACTGTTTATTAAGTCTGAATCTGAATCTCAGTTATGTAAATTAGCCCTATGCATGTTTACCTAAATTAGGTTTATGCTAAATCAGTTATTTCCAACATTCAAGTCTTCTTTGGAAATAGCTCACAAGTAACGTTTGGGGTTGTCAATGAACACATTTAACATTAAGAGACTTAAATATTACTTTATGTAAACTATGGATAAAATAAGATACTTAACTGCTTTAAAGTCATTAGGGATTAATCATTTTTGAGGAATGAAAGTGCCTCCATATACTAGAAAATTGCCTATTGATTTTTCTGGATCTGGAGTTCTCAGTACTATCAGCTTATCATCTTCGAATGTCTAACTACATTGAAAGGTGGATCTGTTTTACAGAAATTTAACCTTTACTATATGACTGATGAGTAGCAGAATGAATTGGCAGCAGTTTTATTCTGCCTCAAAGGAATTAGTTTATAGGGAACCAAAATTTTACTCTAATTACCAATAAGCATTTATTGTATACCTGAAACTAATAAGGGTCATTGGGTAGAAAATTAGGATTTGGTAAATCTAAACTCCCACAATAGAAGAGTGAATCTGGTGAGGTGGGAACTAACAACTTTCAAACTAGAGGGAAAAGTGCTTATATAACATAGAACAGAGGTCTCCAACTCTCAAGGCTGGGAAAAAGTTGACTTGAAAAAGTGAGATGACAAGGTCCAAAATCCAAGTATGCTTAATATTGAAGCAGACAGAAGCAAACGGTTTGATTTTCTTTGTTCTGTTGATTTTCTGCATATCTCACTTGTGTGAAATAAGGCAACATTTAGCTGTGTCATGTCTATGAAACTGCTGGCGTAAGTAAGCTCTTGAATATAGGGTTGAGTGTCTTATATAGTCATACACCTGGTAATTAATAGATAAAAGCAAACAGAAGTCCCAATAAGAGAAACAGACTTATCCAATCTGTTACACAGCTATCCCTGTTCAAAATAAGCTACATTACTGTTTAAGGTAAAGGTTTGGTACTTGGATGTTTCTAGGACCATCTTCCCCAACTCCATCATAGAAGACTGAGGGAGAAAGTCCGCATGAGTTTGTTTATAACATGCAAGTCGTTTCTCTTTGATTTCAAAGAAAAAAAACTATTGCCTTATACTAAACCGCAGTAAAGACATTTTCAAGGACGGAACTAGAGTTTAGCATTCATCCTTGAATTCATCGTAATAGCAATTGATAGCACAAAGCGAGATTTTATTTTTTTCAGTAGATTTTCATGTTATAGTAGTTTCTGAATACTAATTAGTTTAATAAGCTCTGGATAAGAATTCTTTAATCATTTATATTACAATATCTTCCAAAATTGCATTCCCAATACAGCTGTCCGACACTGGGATTGGTAAGCAGAGGCCTTCTCTCTTCAGAATGATCACTGCAGTCTTGGCTTTGACACACCCATTCCGGAGAAAGAACTAAGATACAAAATTGAGGTAACTTACAAGGCAACAACCGTGAGCGGAGCATCCACCACGGAACAAATATCAAATCTGTTGTAACGTGAGAAAAGCCATCCGAGTCCCGCTACAAGAAGCCTCCCGCGTCTTTGCACAACCTCATTTGAGAGTCCATCTCGTTCTTCAACTACTTCAATCGAGCCTCAACCTTCGGTCCCACCTCTTTCGCGTTGCTATAGGAAGGCGATCTAAAACTTTCTCTCTCATTGGACGAAACGTGACCTATGTGTTCGGATGTACCAGATAGGGAGCGCCATATTAATTGCTTACAGCTTCACCCTAGCAACGGCGAGCGAAAGGCCACGTGATGACGTGAAAGCGTTAGAAAGGAGGGGAAGCCCAGCGCAGGCTGGTTTAACGTAAGATTCCTCTCTGTTGCATATTGTATTTTACACTGCACACGTTTCGGTACTTTGTTAGCACTCTGGGTATTAATTCAGAACCTTAATTCTTCCTATTATACTATTTCCTTTGCATATAAATTAACCGTTATGAAATAGTTGACTAAACACGCTTATTTCTGAGCCATTTTTAAAAAATAAATTATATGGCTTCGTTGTTTTTTCTAATGGGAAAATTCTTGATTCTACAAATGTAGAATTTTAACGGTTAACTCAGTGGAAACCAAGCCACAAATAATCTTGTAATTTATTAAAGATAAGTAACCTGAATGGGCATATTTAAAATAAACACTCATAAATGAGCACAGTAGAGAATTCTAATTCATTCAATATTAAGAATGATTAACCTCTTAACTCAAATCGTCAAGAACAAACTAGAAGGGCATAGTGCCTGTCTCCAGCCAGCTACATTGGCCCAATTGTCTGGGTTTGTAAGATTTTTTTTCATCTTTGGTGCAAAAAGGTCCAAATTTTTCACTGCAAACTTATTTCATTACTTACTTGCAATTCAATATTTCTTTAAAATAGCCACAGATAACCATTTTTGCTACCAAAATCAATTAACTTTACTAATCACACAAAATCAGGTGGCCACTGTTATAATATTCAAATCTTGCAAGCAAAATTCTGAACTTCAGAAATCTGTTCAGAAATCTTCCTATTTCCAAGTCAGACTAGCATACCTTGATGTGTTCAGCTACCAAATAGCCATAATTTGGAAGGTAGGCCAGGATTTTGTCAATTCCGATGGTGTTCACATGGTACACCAGATATATTTTGAGATTGTACTCAAAGTGTCTGCTGGTGTGAGTGGTATCTTTGCTTTCTTTTGCCATAGTCATTCTACTTCTATTTGCAGGTCTTTGTATTTTCTGATATTCTTCAGTTCTTTCTTTTATATTGTGCTGTCTCCAAGCACTGCAAGTCCACTGTCTAGACTTTTTTTTTTGCCTTTATTATCAAAAATTGTTAAGTCTGGAGTGTTATTTAGCAGCTGCTTGTCTGTTAATTCTAAAATCCCAGAGCACTTCACTTATTTTCTATTACTTTGTCTATTTTGTATTTACCCCCATAAAAAACCTGCACTCATAGTATTTCTTGCAGATTTTCCACTTTGCTACTTTGTCATGCTGTTGTTTGTAATCAGACTATGCAATCTTCTTGCAGCAGCTAACTAGGTATTCCATAGTTCCTTTAAGTTTAGCTTCTTTGCAAAGGGAGCATTTTCTTTTCAACTTTGATTTTGTATGTATTTGTTCTGAAGGCTTGGTCTTGTGCGGTAGAATTAGCCCCATCTGTCACTTTCTTCAATTTCTCTGCTCTTAACCATTGCCCGATCTTGTTCTCTGCTTAACTGCTATGGGTGTGTGTGTGTGTTGGTAAGGATTTTGCTTGCCATGTCTCTTTTCTATTCTTCAATTAGTCTTTTTTGTAAACCCATGTGATCTCTCCTCCCTTCATGTTGCACTAGGTTAAGGGCATTTCTTCACTGTCCTTCAGATATTCTTCCACTGCACCTTTTCCTTCTACAACTATCTGGGGTACTTGTAACATTGCAGGCTCACCTATGCTGCTTGGTAAATGGAGTCTGTCAACATTACTATGCGAATGAAGGGCATGATACATTATCATTATTTTTCTGGTCTTCCTATTCAGGGCTTCTCATTCTGCTTAAGTCCAGCCTACTATTCCATCTGTATATCTAGTGACTGGAATTACCCAGGTATTCACTGATTTGATGGTATTTCCTCCACTGAGTTTGCTGTTTGAGATCTTTAATTAATGAATTAATTTTATTTAAAACATTTATATAGCTGCCCATCTTCTAACCAACTGTGGGCACCTCCCAATCAATGTTAAAACAACATAAAACCATATTATGACTATAAAACTAAACAAATTAAAATAGTAAAACATTAAAAACAAAATTGATACCAAATCAACTATTTAATATGCAGATATGCAATTTTGACCAATGCTTGGAGAAAAAGTCAGGGAGGCCAGGAGGATGGAAGCCTGCCAAATGTCAGGCGGAAGAGTGTTCCATAGGGCAGGATCTCCTACAGAAAAGACACATTTTTCTAGCTCCAATTGGATGGAAACTTTTAGGAGTATTACTATCCTATCTGGTAGGACTGGTAAATGATATCAGGGAAAGGTGGTCCTACAGATAACCTGCCCTATGCCTTATAGGGCTTTAAAGGCGATGATTGGATCTTAAATTGCACTCAAAAAGAAACTGGAAGCCAATGCAACTCATGCAACAAAAACATTGCATGGGTAAATCAAGGGGCTCCTATTACTGTTTATGCAGTTGCATTCTGAACTAGTTGAAGTTTCTAGGTACAGTAGTAAAGAGTATTGCACTAAGCCCAAAGCAGCAGAGGCTGATCTTATTTTCCATTTTGATGTTCCATTTTGGTGGTGCAGTGTTTTTTTTCTTGTTTTTGATTTTGTATCCCAGTTATTCAGTTATAATTGCACCTGTGCTGTACATTAGTTGGTTTAATTCTTACAGTGAGCTGGTGCTTATATTTGATATTACAGTATTGACATCTTTCAAAACTTGTGCTAGCTCTTTTTTTGGAACAAGCTTCAATGCAGGCAATCTTATTCTGTTGTTTTGGTGCTGTTGTAGATGCTTATTTATTCTTTCTTATAATAATAATAATGATAAAGTTGGAAGGGACCTTGGAGGTCATCTAGTCCAACCCCCTGCTCAGGCAGGAAACCCTATACCATTTCGGACAAATGGCTGTCCAGTTTCTTCTTAAAAACTTCCAGTGCTGGCACGTTCACCGCTTCTGGAGGCAGGTTGTTCCACTGGTTAACTGTTCTGTCAGGAAGTTTCTCCTTAGTTCTAGGTTGCTTCTCTCCTTGGTTAGTTTCCATCCGTTGCTTTCAATTCATCATCTTTTTAGTTAGAGGGCTTTGTTCCTTTTGAGGAGGAGGCAGAATGGAGTGCCTGGTTTGGGAATGAAAAACAATTCAATAGCTATGCTAGTTTTCTCTACACCAACTTCTCCTGGTTTGTCTCTGCAGACTACTACTGGTAAGGCTTTGATTTCTTTGCCCTCAGTAAATTTTTGTGGTTCTTCTAATTCTATTTCTTTGAATACTTTATTTTAAATCAGTGTTGATATGGTAATCTCTGTTCTATTTTGGTTGTTTTTCTTTGCAGAAAAAACATTTTAAAGTATTATCTAATCTATAGGGTTTGATTTGTAATAACATACCATTATTTTCAATCTTTGTATTGTTGGAAGAAAAGTCTTCATCCTGGTTCAGTACAAGCCAGGGATAAACAATATGGCGACTGCTTTAGAAAGAAGGTTGCAGTTTATTGAAGAGGAGAGCTAGACAGAAAGATGGGTCTGGCAGAAAAGAGAGAAAAAGGGCTGAGCACATGTGGGGAGTGGGTTTTTATATCCTCTGGAGCCTTTTGTTTTGAGTTGCTTCCTGTTCCTGTGGCATGAACTTTAACCTGAGTCTTAGTGTGCTTTTCTGGTATTCTGATGGTGATGGGTTAGTCCTATTATGATCAAAGGTCATATCCTGCTTCCCTGGGGCTGGGGCTGATGACTCTTAGAGTTTGGATGGGATATGTAGACTTTAGGTCTTTGTCTTCTTAATCTCCTAGCTCCCTGGATTTACATCTGCACCTCTATAGAGCTGTTTTCTGCTTGGGGAAGGGAGACCTGGGGCTATTAAGAAAACTGGGCATGCTTTCCTGCCCTTTTAGTATTTCCATCTCTGGGGGGGTAACTTCCCACTGTATATTTAAACAATTTTTCTTTAGTCCTGTAGCTGCTGGCCCTGATTATTTAGCCAACAGTCCTAAGTCTTGTAACCTATTTGTTAGCAGATGTCCAGGAGCTTCGAGCATGGTCTTTATTAATATGGGTGATGCCCAATGCAGTATGGGTTTCTGTAAATTATGTCTCATCATATTGTTTGAAAGATGCACTCTTTGTCTCTTCTGATGAGACCTGCCCAGTATGGTTGAACCATTGGCATGGCTTTTATCCCTTCAGAGGATTCAAGGTCCACAACCACATCAAGGTTTCTGCCTCACTATGTGACTATGTTGTGGTACCTTTGAGTCATTGTTGAGTCCTGGCAACTGCCCAGACATGTTCCTACAGTTTTCTTGACAAGATATCAGAAGTGACTTGCCATTGCCTTCATCCTAGAGCTGAGAAAGAGTGACTGGCCTAAGCTCACCCAGCTGGCTTTGTAGAGCTCAGCCTCTTGGTTTCTCCCGGTAGCAACTCCCCAAAAAACTCTCCAGAAAACTGATTTATGATTCTTTTTCCTAGAATGAGAGCAAAATATATTTTATCTATACATTTGGGGGCTTATCAAAGCTATCTATAGTTGCATACAGTTTGGTTGGCTGGGATTCTGCTGCTCAAAGCGTTTTCCAAAATACACAGTTTTGCTTGAAGTGAATAGTGAACATGGTTTCCATAGGACATTTGCATCTTTTCTAATACTGCAATCCTGTTAAGCATGTCCACTAAGTTCTGTTAGTTTGGCAGGTTGGGAGATAGAAATTCTAGATTATTTTCAGAAATAATTTTGAATCTTTGCTAGTGATTGTTGAATTTCATTTATTTGTCTGCACAATTCTGCCTTGTTTGTGAAGCATGAAGAAGTTACTAAATCTTTACTACTGAAAGTGTTAGTTATTAAATATTGATTTACATTATCTCTTAATTACTATTGTGCCATCAACATTATTTTACAAGCACTTATTCCAGCTCCTCCTCCA